TCGATCCCTCAAGGCAGAAGCTAGTCAACTGTGCAGACTCAGTGTCCGTAATCCATCGTCTGGCAGCTATGGGATCCTTTGCCCCGTGAAAATCCGGCGCACCACTGCCCCGGAAGTCCTTGAAGAACAGTGTGCGGGATCCTGACTGGCCAGACGCCATGTCGCTCCTGAATGCCCTGAGGCGATTCTCCATCATCTCCAATATCCCTTCCTTGATCGACCCGAAGATAATGGGGGTCGACTCAAGGATACCTCTAGTGATCTCTGACGTGATAAACTCGTGTAGCCCCTCATCTACTGGCTCGGAACCTGATCCCGAACCCGATCCCTCTCCTGTACTACCAACTTTTGGCCTCGAGCGTAGTACCACCATTCTGAAATACAAAAGAAATAACAACTGTTAGCGATACTGACACCTCTGGAGGGATCACACCTACTACAAGTTCCCTGGTCTTATCTTGGTCTTCCTCGGTTCGGGTACGGATCCTCTGTTTTCAGTAGTACGGGCCCATACTACCTTCCACATCTATCCGTACCTTCTGCAAGGACTTCCTTGACTCCACCAGGTCCCTTTCACTACCGCTAATCACTGCTACTCTTATCCTAGGCTTTCCCTAGGAAACCTCTAACTCCACCCAACGCAGTCCTCAGCTGTTGAAGGTCTCTTTGCGATGCCAATTAGCTATTACCTGAATACAATCACATGCGACGAGGCTTGGATAATCCTTCGAGTAAGGGACTTATCCCTACAACGGTTAGGACTCAAACAAGAGCTACACAATAGGGTCAAATCCAACACTCTGATATTATTCAACCCTGATCACATGTGACTTTGACGTATACACCTAACAGCTAACTCCCATCACTCAAAGTCCACATAGCACAAAGCAAACATCATTTAGACAAAAGGAAACAATCTTAAGCAACTCTATCCTCGTAGAGAAGAACTGAACTAGCATACAATGATAAACTCGTACTATCAAGCATAACCTAAACATGCTATCCTACTGCTGTCTACTCGATTCTAGCATGCAACTTTTCATACACCGAAGCACATATAGCAAGCACATAAGGCATCACCCCTAGATCCTTAGTCCCATTCTAACATGTTGTTCTACTGAAACTGATTAGCATATATAAGCTTGTATGGGTACTTTGGGGAATACTTACTTGAGCTTGGCCGATCGCGCACATCACACACTTTGTTCTTTCTTAAAACCCTTTACTTAGCCATTTAGAAAACATTTTCTTTTTTTCCAAAATCTTTTAATCCCTCGATTTGAGTTGAAACACCCATGAAGGTGTGTCCGAATCCCTCAAACCAGGGCTCTGATACCAACTTGTAACATCCCAAAAATACGAGCCAAAAATTTCATTTTTAAAAACATGTAATTAGCAGAACATTAGTAATAAAACATACACCGATCATATCATTCATAAAAGTGTGTGTGTCTGGAAATCAGTTCATAAAAACATAACAACGTCAGAGGACAATCCCCAGGAAGATCTCATAGTGCGGAATACAAAGCGTGTGTGTGATGGGCCGATACCGCGCCAACTCTTTCCCCTTCGAAGAAGAGGTACCTGAAACCAAAACTGAAACCTATAAGCATGAAGCTTAGTGAGTTCCCCCACTGTACCACATACCATAAAATCACATAACAAACATATACTATCGGGCATATCTGGGTGCCCAACCTACCCCTTCGGTCCTTGCGACCAGATACTGCCCGACATATCTGGGTGCCCAACCTACCCCTTCGGTCCTTGCGACCGGATACTGTCGGGCATATCTGGGTGCCCGACCTACCCTTTCGGTCCTTACGACCGAATACTGGGGACTATTTCACCACCTACTGCTACCACATAACACATATCACATAACATCATATCATACTAGCACATAAACATAACATAGGTACTAGCAACCCTAGATGAATATCAAGGAGACCATCATCTATATACAACTCCTACTGGTGGGCCGTCATTGTGACCGTAGACCCACCGCTATTGGAAGGTAACTCACATCGTAGCTGCTGCTCTGTGTGGGAACTGTCTGTCTGCTGCTGCTGCTTCGGAAATCCTCCGGTTGCAATTCCCACCAAACACTTAGTCAAATACTGCTAACCGACCTCAGGGTAAACTGACCATTTACCCTTAACCAAACCATGAGTCAAAGTTAAAGTCAACTTCCAGTTGACCTGACTCGCCGAGTTGACTTGTCAACTCGCCGAGTCCCAATCCCTTTGTCTGACCCCTATCCTATCTCTACTCGTCGAGTTTAGCATTGACTCGACATGTTTTCCTTCTAAGCTGATGACCAAACGTTCTTCATTCTACTCGCCGAGTTGTATGAACAACTCGTTGAGTTCATCTTCATCTAAAGAACACTCTATGCTGAGACTCGCTGAGTTGTATTAACAACTCGCCGAGTCCGTTCTTGAGGCAAGAAGATTGCCTTGAACTCCCCGAGTCATGGAATTGACTCGCCGAGTTACCACATGAGTGAGTCTGGCTTCCAACCCACTGATTCACACCCTATGACTCACTACTCCAACCCGCAAACACGAAAAGGGGGAAAACTTGGGGACTCGCGACTCGAATCGCCGAGTCAGATGAACGACTCGCTGAGTCTGCCGCATGCAATTACTATACACGCAATTCTGCTTGAATCTAACCCATGCCATTCATAGATCTGGGTTTCTACGACATGGTTTACACGTAAAGTTTCCAACTTTACATGTAAATAAACACCCATGAGGGTTTTAGGGCTCAAAATGCACCAAAAGAGTAGATCTAGGGCTTTCATGCACTATGGCTCCATCAAGGCAGTAGATCCAAGCTCCTAGAGCTCAATCATGCCTAGATATAGAGGCTAAACAACTTATTAGGAACCCTAAGACACAAACAAGCTTGGGAAAAAGGTTCAAGAAGGACTTTCATTGAGCTACAAGGGATAATGAGCATCAAAACAGAGGGAAACTGAGTTATACCTCAAGGAAATCACTGAAATAACACCAAGATGTATGGCCTCCTTCTTCTCTTCTTGATCTACTTTCCTTTTCTCTCAAAATCTTCAAGAAAACACACCAAAGCCCTTCAATCTCACAAGGAACAAGGGTTGGACGATATAGGGAGCTCTAAGGGTGAAGGGGGCGAGCTTAGGGGCGGATAAGAGGGTTTAAATAGTGTGCAAACCCTTGAAATTTAGGGTTTCATCAGACAGCGGGGACTCGCCGAGTCCAGAATATGGACTCATCGAGTCGCCAACTTAAACGTGTTCTGGATCCCGTCTCTACTCGTCGAGTCGGACCTACAACTCGCCGAGTCCAAGGCTAAAAATGAAAAACACTAAGATAAATTTTACGTACCAGGAACCAGGTGCTACACATATATTGATTGACCTCCGAAACACAGCTCTTGATAACAGTCTTCTCTGATTCCAAATCATCAAGACGCTTGTTGGTGTAGTTCAAATTTACCGAAAGAACCTTAGCTTTCTTAGTCTTTTGAGTCATTTGTCCATGAGATTGTTTTCTATACGAATGTCTTCCTAAAGTTTATCAATCTTAGGCACAACCAAGGCATTGAGCTCGAAATTATTAACCTTGATTTCGGATCGAACACCGGAAAACGCCTCTTTGTCTGTTTTGCAGAGTTGAACAAAGACTCGTAATTACTTTATTAACATTCTCAATGTTCTCATCTGAAGAGCGTCGGAACTCATCCATGAACTTGGTCACATCATCATTTAATTTTTAGGAAGGACTTCTGCATTCTCCTTCGTAAGCATCTCAACCTTGGCTCGATGGGACTTCAGCATAATCTCATAACTAAATAAGGATTGGGAATACTCTAAAGTAGAATTCAATTGTTCATTTACCTGTTTAAATTTCCCTTTAGTCACTGGTGCTTCAACATCATCACTGTTTTGATTGAAGGTGAAAGGGTAGAAAATAAAATCTTGAAAATTCTATTGATTATCCCCAAACATAATATCTGGATCGTCATTATAGAATTGTGAAGTGGTAGAAGTGCTTTGATCCATAGTGACACCTATATTGATATTACCCCTATATCAGATACGTTTACATGAATGTCAGAAGTGTATACCTCCTCCAAAATGAATTTGGTGATAGGGACTTCGGGTACACTGGTGACTGCTATTGTTGTAGTGGAATCTGTAAAGAGTGGAGTGGAGAAAGGAGCAGAGATCTAAGGAAGTGAAACTCTAACAAAAAACTGTGGTGGTAAAGGAGTTATGGTGATTGGAATAGTGGTAGTTATCGGAGAAGATGGTGGAGTGTGCATCTGAAAGAAATCAGAAAAGGGAGTAGAAGATGTAGGCGGAGTGGATATCGTCGGAATTGGTGCGTTTTTAGGTGCTTTTGAAGTGGCAGTGATGTCCTCTACTTCATTCTAAACTGGATCCTCTTGAATATCAGTGTGAGTTCTAGATTATGAATCCTCTTACGCTATAGGAGAAGGTGGCCTTGGTTTCCAAGCTGGATTCTTGACCTTCTTTGGAGTTTTAATGACTTCAGAAGGACCAGCCTTTCCATTTCGATTTGCACCCCTCTTTGGTTTATTGGCCTCCTTAATCACCATTCGCAAGTCATCTGACATAGGGTGTGTACCAGAAGGAGGTAATTTCTGGTATACATTAGCAATAAAATTATCTTTATGCGCCCTTACTAGCATCACCTCCGGAATTGAACCAAGGAAATTAAACTTGCAAGGATCAGACATCATAAATGTCGACGTCTGTAGAATCAGAGTTGAAGCAACAACATAATAATTCGTCATAGGAAACTTGAAATAAACTAGGGCTATTTTGACGACGATTAACCAAAAACGAGCGCAAGAGATCTTAGTATTGTGTGTAGTAGAGGTTATACTCTAAATGAGTTGTGTCTAAAGGATAGAACCATAATCCAAATTGATTCGATGATAGAGGCCATGGATAATTTTATAGAAAATCTTATGTGCGCTGTCAGAGCCTATGAAGTGTTCAGAAAGCCTTTGAACGTCAACGCGAATAGATCGTTCAACACTGGAGGAATATTGGGCTTCCTAAACTTGGACAACAATGAGATATCCCAAATGTAACCTATCTGGTAAAACATATTAATGGGATCTATAGAGGAAATCAAGTCTGGATCCACAAGGTATTCAGATGAATCAAGACCTATCATTTTGCAGAAACGGGCTTTGTTGATTGAGGTCCTGCTCATCGCAACCTCGGAGATTATGATTTCATATGCTTGAATGTAAGTGGCAAAAGAATATGCCTTAGAAAGATGAACCATTGGAATAGATTCTACCATGGTAAGAGCTTGTGCAAGAGGCGAGTACTTCAAACATTCAATCATCGGCCTTAGGGTTTCATTGTATCTAGTGGAGTCAAGATCGAGAATGAGATTTTGATCGGGATTCAAGTTCAACATGTTGACAAATGTTTATTGATCAACAAAATATGTAGTTTCAGATGATACATCCATTGTAGCAACAAAGAAGATGATGAACAGTAAGTAGAGAGAGAAAGGGGGCGTTTTGCCGTGAAATTTTTGAATACTTTGTGAGCTGTGAGAGAAAATCAATCATCGAAAATCCTTCCATACGTCATGATGGGTGAGAGAAAATACCATCGTTTGATGTTTCCATATACCAAAAATATAGCCTGGGATTGCGTGATAACTCATCAAAGGCCAGACGCTATATAACAGACATGCATGATGTTGGTGATTTGAAAAGATACGCCAAATTTGAACTTAACCCCCAAGAAGGATTAGAACCTGACTGCGAAAAAATCATAAAGATTTTCGTGCAAGAGTGTGACAAAGAAAAAGGAATAAAGCAAATTAAATTTCTAGGATTATATGATGTCAAATAGTAATGACATGAAAATTAGATGGATCTCGGGCAACGATCTCTTCATTCTACGTCAAGAGAGACTCGAAAGTGCTTGTGTGGTTTCTCATTGAATTACGATAATCTATTAATTAAGAAATAGTGAAAGGATTCATTTAAGTATGCTTAAAGGGTGGCTTAAGCTTCAACCAAATTCTGAAACATAACATAAGTCCGAAGATCTGGAAGAAGTACTTGTTTGACCAGTGTAGTCATAATAACAAGTAAGGTTTGGATATAATTTTAGTGACTAATTATGATGAAAATCCAAAAAAAAAAGGATCTTGTAGGTAAGAAATTTCTTAGGCCAAGAACATTTCATTACAATCACGCAAAAGAAAAATGAGATTTCATACATGTAGTGGTACAAGCTGAAAAGGTTGTAATCGCCAATTCATTGCTGAAAACACTTTAACATTTAATTGTTCACCGTCAATTCAAAAATTGGTTTTTGGATTTTGGGTTTTTTACTTAAAATCATGATGACAATGATTTTGAAGAGCATTTACACAAATGTTGTGTAACCGTAAACCTTAGTGGAAATATATGAGAGTCTCATGGGATATGATTATGAAAACGAGAGTTGATGGAGAAGTTATAGATTGGTTTCGAAGAAGAAAGTTTACCTCTATTATAAGTATATGACAAGTCAAATCTTAACTCATTGTGAGAAATGTAAGGTAGTTCGATGACTTATGTAAATAAATAGCCTGATTAGGAAGAAACGCTTGGAATGAAAGTTTCATCAAGGCTTCAAACATAGATTCTCAAATGCTTGAGTCATCATGTAGTAGCATGCTTCTAGGGACACTTAGCTAGTACATAGATTCGGAATAATATCTGCCCATCGTTCTAAATTAAGGTAACAAGAACATGTACCTGAGAAAAGAATGTTTTTTTTTTAAGATAACACACGAAAAGTAAAAATAAAGCAAAATAATTTTGTTATTTTTGGTTTTCTGAAAATGATCAAATAGAAATAAAGAAAATATTTGTGATTTTTAGATTTTCTGAAAAAGATAAAACTTAAATAAAGAAAATATAAATTCAGAAACACAAATGAACAATAACTTTCGAAACATTCCGAAGCACGAAATCAATTAGAAGAAACTTAATATATAAATGGATACAACTCATTTCGAAACCCTTGATGAGCAGTACATCCTAAACAATTATGAAGCTCGGAACCAATTGGAATATGAACAGTAATTTTCGATTACGATGGGAATTTTGGAACTGAGTCCACTTCAATCATACCTAGCCCTTGTAAAATTTGATTGAACGTCGTTTCAGGGCTTTAGTGAAGATATCAGCCAGTTGAACAGAGGATCTAACTAAGTGTACTTCAACGTTTCCATCTTTTACGTGATCCTTTATAAAATGGTATCTCAATGCAATATGTTTCGTTTTAGAGTGTTGCATTGAATTATGGAATATTGGGTTACAAACCCTATTCATCAAATCCATGAATGTTATTGGAGCATTGGTTAGTCCAAACTACATAACCAAGAACTCATAGTGTCCGTTTTTTGACATTCTTTATATCCACGCGAAAGTAAGATTATACTCTACTACTTCCGTTTAGACTCCGTCGGCTAATTTTGAATTTATTTTTAATATTATATTTTTAACAGGTCGGGATAAGAAAAGTCCGTTAAAAATTCATAACTGTTCATTCGACATCCGTTTTCATATGTCTTTTTACTATTGAGCTAGTATTGATGAGACCTTCGATTCTCGTTTAGGTTGTGTCAACTAAAAATCGGTCGATCTATAATTCAAATTTCGAGTTGCATACTGCTATGTCAAATCTTTGAAAACCCATAACTTCCTCATACGAAGTCATATTTGGATATTTTTTTATGCACACTCTCGGTTTAATGTGTGTTACGACTTTCATTTAGATTGCTAAAGCTAAAAAACACTTTATCGTAAACTCAATTTTTGTAATTAAAGTGCATATTATCCCACATATTTATGTATGTATTGTGTATTGAAAAATCCGAAATACAAATAATTTGCAAAAAAGTAAACTTAATTATGACTTTTTTAAGTTAAAGAGACCCACATGTCTCTCTATGTAATCATGAATTGATTCTTGCCATAAAAGGACTATATTTGTTTTGCACCTATTTGGATCTTTCTTCCATGTGAAAGTGCTAGCATATATGCTTATAAATATAAAGAACTTTTTGAAATTGTCATAAAATGGTTATAAAATATAATAGTTTCTTTTCTATTACTGCTTCTTTTTATTCATGGGTTATTTATATCTGAAAATTAATAATAACTCAATGAAATTGTCAATGCTATGCAACACTATATTTGATATAAAGTTTTGGAAGTATTTATAATATGTAGTTATTAATGTCTTATTTTTAAAGTTTAAAATATTTAATTTTCTGTATATTAATGATTTCTAATTTAAATAACATAATAAACTAAAATAAAAAACCGAAAGAAAAAATTGCAAACATCTTAAAAAAAACAGTTATGTTTCTTCTTTTTAAACATGTCAATAATAACTATTATTTGTTCTTTTTAATTGACAAATATAATCTATTTCTAAACTATTTTTAATTAAATATATAATTCAGATTTGAATTCTAGTCCTGAAAGAAGAAAAACAACACTTGATAGTTACCATTCGAATAGATAATTTATTTTTAAGGGATTATATTTATATTATTTACTAAAGTGTTTCTACAAATTAATTTACATCTAAAATACAACTATCATGTAAAAATACAACGATACATAACTAGTTATGTAGGATGCCACACTTCAAATGGGGAGATTTATTGAAAAGTTAATTGCTATGGTGAATTTATATAAATGGAAACTTTTGTTGCTATTTTAGGAGAAACAAAAGTCCAGAGCACGATCCAACAAAAGTTTTGGATTGACTATTCGGCCTTAAGGCCCATTAGCATATTTTTTTTACACAAACAACAATGTACTTTTCTTGATGTATTTTGATATCGAAATAAATATTACAATTTCTTTAACTTTGCAATCGAAATGGATCCATATGATTAAGTATTAAAAATTGAATTCAAAGGAACTAATAAAAAAAAAAAAAAAAAAAAATCCAAATTGGGGTTTCGTGATTGACTGATTGTTCATATACTGTATAGGTGACCAAACCTAAAGAAAGAGCCAATCTCTTTTTTTAATCTTCAAACATGTTTCAAAATTTTTCACGACATATAATATTAATTCTTAAATTTCAAATTCAAAACTCACATCATTTAGCATAATACCTTTAAGATGTTTTATTGATTTATAAAATGATATTATCATATGTGGACTATTCAATTAACCTATAACTATAGTGTTTTAATCATTTTCTCTTTTAAGATAAACAATACACATGTGAACCTTTATCTTTGTTTTCAAATAATTAAATTTTTTATCTCGACATAGTTTGCATATATGGATTCATAAAAAAAAGGATAATTTATATCATCTAAGCAGTCCATGTTAACGCGTCTCAAGGCATACGTAAGAATTGAATAGTAAAACATTACCAATATTTGAGAGTGTCATGGTTTGAATCCTAAACCTCCTACATTCAGTTTCAGAGCAGGGTCCATATATGCATCTACATTGATGTTTGATTTAATATACTCCCATATTAACATAATAAGGCCAAAGTTAGGTTAAAAGTCTAAAGTGCCTAGTTAACCTTAATTAAGAACCTTAATTAGTGCTTAATAGTCATTGTAACCTTCCCCTATAAAATCCATTGTGATCTTATTACCTTTCTTCAACAAATCTCTCCCTCTCTTTTGTTCCAACAAACACAAAATGGAGAGAATAAAATCGAATACTGCAGTACATGATGTGGAAGTCAGAAAAGGACCATGGACGATGGAAGAAGACTTGATTCTTATCAACTACATAGCTGATCATGGTGAAGGTGTTTGGAACACTCTTGCCAAATCCGCAGGTGCTACTTCACTGATTAATTAATCTTTTTATATTATATGTTTATTTTTTAATCCATTTAATTAATTAGTTTTTTTTAATTAGGTCTTAAAAGAACAGGAAAAAGTTGTAGGCTTAGATGGTTAAACTATCTTCGACCAGATGTGAGAAGGGGAAATATTACACCTGAAGAACAACTCTTGATTATGGAGCTTCATGCGAAGTTTGGTAACAAGTAATCAATTAAATTTTATTTATTTTGAAATTTTCTACATTTGGTTAATATAAAGTTAAGATGCTACCTTTTGAATGTCATTAATTAGTATCTCCAATTAAAATATGAGAACATTCGTTCGTTAATTAGTTTTTTACATCATTTTTCAATAATCAATCGGTATTTAATGCCACGAAAAATATAGCTTTCAAATTTATTTTTTATATTTTAATTGCATTTTATTAAGTATCATACTCTTTGAATGGATTACTTTATAAGATGTATAAATAAAAAATAAAAAATTAATTATTAACAAGACAAAATTCTAAAATATTTGTAAATCGAAGTTTGAAAGAAAATCATGCTTACATAATAAAATTATAACAACTTAAAGAAAATAGAGAAATCGAAATAAAATACGAAACGTTGCTAGTAGATTTCTACTTGAGATTTTTTTTTTCACGAGTTAATTTGATATATTTTTTTGCATGTTTTTCCAATAAAAAATATATTTTGATTATTAAAATTGATTTATATCACTTACCCAAAAATGCATACTCACAAAAGTGTATTTCTTTCTTCGTATTGATGGAACACTATCATCGAAAGATCCCAACACATGTAGCCAAAAGTTGTTTCTTGATCCGAATACTTTTGCAAAGCTCAATACTTCATATGAATAATGAGAAATCGGTTCCACTTATATAGGTGATCCAAAATCAAACCCTTTGATTTTGAACCATAGAACGTGATGATCTTTTTAATTCGCAACATGTAACATGTGCTATAACTTTTGAAAAGTAAAATGTGGGTAACATTGATTTTAAGAAGAAGAAATTATACATATCAACGTTTATCTAGTACAATTTAACATACATAATCGACTATTTGTTGATAGTTTCTATGGTTGTTTTCTTAAACACAATTTGTCAAACTAAAATTTGTTGTAGGTGGTCGAAAATTGCAAAACATTTGCCTGGAAGAACGGATAACGAAATAAAGAATTACTGGAGAACAAGAATTCAAAAGCATATGAAGCCAGCTGTGAATTTCAATGGACAAACTTCTTCATGTCACAACAACCAACCACAAATGACCTCAATTCAGACATGCAGTGCTATAACTCCGATGGAATTATCACACTATTCTACATGCGATAGTGTTATTAATTTCCCAAGCTCATTTGACACTGAGACAAACGAGAACACATGGAGTATGGAGGATTTATGGTCCTTGCAGTTGCTAAATAATGACTAAACTATATATATATATATATATATATATATATATATATATATATATATATATATATATATATATATATATATATATATATATATATATATATATATATATATGTTTTGTTTTTCATGTATCAGTGCGACTGTGTGAGTCCTAATCCTTTATCTAAATACAAATTTTAGTTTGTTTTTACGCATTAATTGTGTGATGTAACGAAATAAATATATTTTCTCATACTATAATTATAATATTGAATTCTTATTTCGTGTTGTCTTATTAGTTAGTATAATTATAATATCATATAAAGATTTTGTGCTGTATGATATTTTTCTCATTCCTTTCAATTTATTCTAGTCTATTTATATGACAACCGGTTGGTGTTGAATTAAGTTTATACTATGTCAGACTGATAAAAATATTAAATCTAATTTAGTGTTGTCAAATGTATATTTTCATCCGATTCCGAAATGGGGCTTGTCCATTTTCGGAATTGATGTATAGTTTAGTCTATATATAGCGTATGCATGTAACTTCTAGGGTTACGCCTTTCACCAGCGCTAAAAGAATAGTTCCATCTTCACGAAATGTTCTCTTGCTTAGGTTAATAGAATTCAACTCTTTTCAATCATCATCGTTCCATATCATTGATTTATCTCGTAATATAGAATCTATCGATATATTTATTTTTCTAAAAATCGGTATTAGAGCAGGCGATAGTGTAATCAAATCGCTATTCTTGTGTCAAGTAAAGGGTTTTTTCATTAGGGTTTTTTAGTTTTCTCAGATCTATCCTCATATCTCAATCGTCTCAATCGATTTTAGATCTCAGATCCAAATCTCTCGTTTTTTTAACTCGATTCAAACTTACACATCTGATTCTATGTTTTGTTTCATTGGATTCTCGTTAACATGCCTAACGACGATCTTCACTATCTCCCATTCAATCTCCCAAGCAGCATTGGATCAACAACAAAGATCCCTATTCCTTTTCCAGAAGATTATAGGGTCTAGGCTCTTCACTTTGAAGATTATGTGTTGGGTATCAAAATATATAGATCTAGTATTTGGCATGCAATGATGGTTGAAACATATAAGTACTCGGATATCAGAAAAGAAGTCAAAACTCAGGCTAGCTATGATGCAATCATTGCTGAACATATTGATATTCCACATGATGAGAAGTACAAGCTGTTGTGTAATCTAATGGCAATGAAAATCATTCGATTTGCTATTCCTCCTGACACATTCCTTCTCCTCCATTCATATGACACTGCAAAAGGAATCTGGGACAGATTGAAGGAATTGTATTCAGGTGCTAACGACTTGGAATATTCTATGCAAACGGCACTTTTATCAGAGTTTGGATCCTCTATGCAGAAACCAAATGAAAAAATATATCAAACTATCAATCTCTTTAATCACTTGTTGAGCATAATTGTATCATCCCTAAAATTCGAGCCAATTTAAAACTTTTTAAATCATTTAAACCATTCAGTTATTAAAATTTTTTCAAAATAGTTTAAACATCAGAGTTCCCAGAAATCATAATCATCAATCGAGGAAGTGTACTATCATGCTTTCGCCTTCCCGCGGTCATTCGCTGAACCTAAAACAATAAATTGAATCTGTAAGCTCGAAGGCTTAGTGATTTACCCACAAAATACCAACACTATACTGATATAACCATAACATATAACATATAAGTAAACAAAAACAACCATGCATCTCAAGTCTACAGTGTGACTAGTCAGCCTACACCGTGCCTTCAGTCTACCTGGTCCACTCTCTGAGTCTACAATATGCATAATGAGCCTTCAACTTGACTAGACCGCCTCACAGGCCTTCAGTCTATCTGCACCGCTCTCCGAGCCTTTGGAGCGTATAGACCACCTCGCAAGGCCTTCAGTCTATCCGGACCGCTCTTTGGGCCTTCGGCCTGACTATGTGTCCTCCTGGGCATGCAGTCTATCCGGTCTGCCCTGGGTATGTTGGCCTTCAGCACAAAGCAGGACCGCCTCAACCCAACCCCCAATCAAACAACCATGTGCACATATAACATATAATCACATAACAGTCTATAGACAACAAACTGATCTAACAGATCAATAGCATAACATCCTATAACCAGGATACCGACCTAACCAGTTACTAACATAGTATCATCCTATATAACAGATAATCACATAACAGTCTATAGACAACAAACCGATCTAACTGATCAATAGCATAGCAACATCCTATAACCAGGATACCGACCAAACCAGTCACCAACATAGTATCATCCTATATACTAGGATACCAACCTAAACCAAGTTACTAAACATAATACCATCTTAACTACCAGGATGCTCATCTAACAAATCAATAAAGATAATGTAACGCCCGCAGATCCGGGCTAGTCAATTTAGAGGAAATAGGGGTCGAAAATGACTTTTCGACAAAAGATTATTTAGAATAAATAATCTTAACCAAGTTGTAGAATATGTCACAAGGTTTCCGTACATATAAAGAACGTCGAAATCCGAGTTATAACGAAGAAGTTATGGCCCGTCGAAGTTTCGCGACGGAACCGGCACGACACCGGGAAGCGTAAATAGTGAATTTACGATGGAGGACTTTTTAGCCTTAGTGATCTAAATGAAAGTCATAGAATATGTTAAACCAAGAAAATCCATAAAAAGAACGCCCAAATCTGACTTTGTATGAAGAAGTTATGATTTTTCTAAGATTCGACTTAGCAGTGTACAGCCCGAAACTCGAATTTTAGTTTGAGCGGTTTTTGGCTTACGTGACCTAAATGAGAGTTGAAGATCTCATTAATAGGAACTCAACGGTAAAAAGACAGACGAAAACGGAGTCCGTATGAAGGAGTTATGAATTCTTCGCGGTCATTTAACAGTCTAAACGCCTCCTACTGTTAAATTTGAGATCGGTCGAGAATTAGCCGACAGAGTCTAAATGAAAGTTGTAGATATTAATTTTACCTACGCGTGGATATAAAGAACGTCGAAAACGGAGCTCGTATGCGAAAGTTATGATTTTTCTAATTTTGAGGGCTGATACGCGATAGGGGGTGACGTGGCACCACCCGAATTGGACACGTGGCACCACCAGAAGGCCACCACATGGACCAACTCGGTGAGTAGATCCCCCCTACTCGGCGAGTAGACCAGTCAGCACCCCTATAAATAGAGGTGTCGGGTTCCCTCATTCTTCACACCTTCCTAAACTATTCTTTCTCTCTCTATACTCTCTCTCTAAGCTCCCTTAAACCCCTAAAAGCCTAGGTAAACCCCCTAGCACCCGAAGGAAGCCCCGAGGCTCCCGGAGTCCCGAGAAAAGAGCCTTTCGGCTCGGGAACGCTGCTCCAGCGAAGCCCGGTTTTCGAGAAAACCCGCTGTAAGTAATCTATGCCTACGCTATCTTTAGTATAGCTTATGTTTCAATATAGTAATGTTATTAGGACCTTATAATAAGTATTTGGGCTATTATTATGAGTTATATTGAGCGTTATTTAACGCTTATATAATAATAATAATAGCTAGACTATTAATTTGTCGCGGTTAACGTCAGCCTAAACTCTAGTGGTAATGATACTAGGTTTTGTCGAGGAAGTTGTTTTAAGAGTAACGAAGTGCTGTCCGAGTGCCGAGTCACCACCTTCCCAGGTGAGTGCATAGTTACTTTCATCTTACACATAGATATGAAGTATTTTATATAAACTACGTGCTATGTGTGCATATTATCTGAATACTTGCTGTCTATGCTGGATGAACGTCTTATACATGTTTTAAAGGATTTAAACTGTATAACGTATTTTATATACGAATGTGTTGGGTATGATGATGGGTAGATGAATGATGAGAGATAGAGGATGACATGAGTATACATTGGCAGCTATAGACTTAGTGCCTATGTGACAAACACCGGTAGCTATGGACTTAGTACCTATTAGACGTAGGTAGCTATGGATTTAGTACATGTTAGAAATTGGTAGCTATGGACTTAGTACCTATTAGTTAGACGTTGGTAGCTATGGATTTAGTACCTGTAGGAATTGGTAGCTATGGACTTAGTACCTGTTGAACACTGGTAGCTATGGATTTAGTACCCGATGAGTAAGATATAGCAGCTATGGAATTAGTGTTTTACGAACTAACATCGGCAGCTATGGATTTAGTGCCAGTCCTATAACCCTGGAAGTAAGGGACTTCGGAATAAACAAATTCAGGATAGACGACTCTTAGGTTAAATCCTTAAGAGTAAAGAAGATAACGGGGATGGGTAATGGGGTTAATTGTTTGATGATTAAACATAACAATTATATTATTGTGGGTTGAAAACCCTATGTACTCACCAGGTTTCCCAACCTGACCCACTCAGTTTATGTATATCACAGGTGACGAAGTGAAGTGACATTACACTGAGAGATTTAAAGAGATATAGATCACTAGTGTAAATCATTGTAAGTTCTGTTTATGCTTATGTTTCGGTATTAACGATGACATCCCAAACGTTTTAAAATGAAATAAATACGTTTCCTCGAAAATGTTTTAATAACGTATTTACCATGTTTTTCTGGGAACAAATTCCGCAACCTTTTTATAAAATGAAGTACTCTGATTTTTATAAAGCATAAACAAAATCGGTCTTTTCTGGCCGTGGTTTTGGGGATGTCACAGATAATACCATCCTAACTACCAGGATGCTGATCAAACAGATCAATTAGCATATCAAGCAAGTACCAGTATATAATCCGAAAAGTGACAACCTTGGTGCCTTAGACTCTGTTGATATAATGAGGATAACTCTCCTCGCACTTTCGATCTGAACTGCAGAGTCGAACTCCTGAATCGCTGGCTCACCAAAAGTCTCGAACAGTTGATCTCTGGATTCCCAAAGCTATCAATACCAAAATATCACTTAGTTCAAAACAATAATCCTCCTTAGGGTAAAATAACCATTTTACCCCTAGTCCAACTTGCTCCATATCTAAGGCTCAAAATAATAATATA